AAACCTAAGGAATGCAAACCCACAGATTCAAAGCTCTACCCACAAGATAGAAAGAGATAAGGAGAAGTAGCAGAGTGAAAGATGCACACTTCTGCTAAAGAGAAAAACAACAACAACAACAAACAACAGGTAAGAATACTTTCTAACTCTAGACCTGCAAGAACTGATTTTTATTGATGAATAAGAGAAATGCACCAGCACAAGACTCATAGGAACACAATCTAGAAGATCATTTCCAGTCAGATATTACCAGGATCAAATCTAGTAGTTTTACTAATAAAGTGGTGGTCACAACATAGTATGTAGGTGTTTACATTACTTGTATTCTTTATTAAGTAATCACAACTAAATTGTATTATTTCCAATAATACAAGACAAGGACTATCCTTCTGCTTCATGTAAGGAAGTGGATTCAGCTCCAGTGGAATTTCATTGAACTAGCATAACAAGCCTGGAGGTCTGCTATGGAGGGATGTGTGCTGGGTACTCACCCCTCTCCTGGTTGCATGGGCCTAACACTTCATGGGAGAGCAGTTCAGAATATAGTAGAAATCAATTACAATGCCTGGAGAAATTAAAAAGGAGCAGAATAAACTTAGAAGAGGAAACTGGGAAGCAACTGATATTGCTTACCTAATGTAAGGAAATTTCCCTAAATCAGTGCCATACCAACCTCCCCAAGGCCTACAGTCTTATCTCTTAGAGCATGCCTTTTTATGCAAGCTCGTGTCACAATAATGAGCAGAATGTTATCAATCCACAGCATGGCAACCGTTAGGCTGGTTCACTCAAGCTCTGGACTTCTGTCTCCTACAGGTTTTGTTTTGGAAGACTGAAGCAGTAAGATGGGAGTCAGATTCTTCTCTGCATTCTAAGCAGGCCGCATCTACATTTGGTTCAGGACTTCTTCTAATTGAATTATGTTTGCACTTGGATGTAAGTTAAGTCACAGCTTAACCATTAACTGTGTTCTGCTATGGCATCCACCACTCTGTATTTGACTTCACTAAATGCCTAATGTTGTGCAGTGAGTTTTTGATAAGTGTGTTTGCAGATTTTCAAGACAGACTAATAACACCAAAGGAGGATCCAGGAATGTTTCAAGTAAATATTATGTGTATATTTTCTCAACAGTGCCTGCAGACCAGCACCTTCAGAGCTGCATAATCTCACCTAAAATACATTTGCATTGTTTGCACTAACTGGCGTGGTCTACATTACTCTAAGCAAACTCTTATTTGATTACAACATTATGCAGAGCATAATTCCAGGACACACAGTCATGCAGCTCCGAAGAAACAGAAGCTTCTATTTCTGTCCTGCAAAATTCTGCTTGCCATCATTAGATATTTCTTCATCAATCATAACAAAGACTGAGTAGATAAAGACTGCTACCTGAGCCAGGAACATTCTGGGATATTTTAAGAAACTCTTTGTTTTTCTCCCTCTACCTTCACTCTTTTCTACTGTTATTCCCTATTTTGACCTAAAATTTACAAAAAGATGGATGCCTGGAATGCAGGTCCAGCTGTAAGTGATTTGAATGTGCAAGAACTTCAGAGCAGGCATCTTCTCTGACTGTGTCACGAGATGACAGAACATCAATACAGGGAAGATGGTTGAGCTTGGTGGTGAGCAGATGTTAGGCATCTTAACTTTTTCTAGTAATTTATTATATTGTCATCTTTTCGGCTACCACCAGCAGATGGCTTAACAGTTTGGAGTGATAGCCAAATTGAAAAGAATTTAGTAGTGCCACTGACATCACATTACATGGATGAGAACTGATTAGGGCATTATCTTCTCATCTAAAATATAAGTATTGAATTCTAGGCTCAGCCATAGACTTCCTGTGGACACATCTCATTTGGGGTATAATAACACTACAATCTAAACTAAGTCAGCTGCCTATATAGAACATACATGAAACAAATTTGAGCTAAGCTAGTTACCCATAACAGCTGTGAAAGCACAGGCTCTGAAACTCATCTGCTGTAGACAAATCTCTAATCTCTTTGGCTCAGATTTATTAAATCTGTGTGTCCAGGATTTCCTATTTAGCCTGTGAAAAGAAATAATCAATTTAGATGGCAATTCAGACTTCAGGTGGACTAAAATGGAGGCAGCAATGTCTCTCCATTGACTACAGTGGCATCCTAGGGCAACTGTAGATAAATACCATCTATCTGCAAAGGAGGATAACAGCTTTTTCACAGCAATATCATGAAGACAAATGGAATACATATGGCTTAGAAGAATGGCAGCAATTACCTACCTCAGTTAGATCAACTTTCTTGTTTTCTGTTCAACCTGTCTACTACTGGTAAGGCAATATAAAATGGCTCTGTAAAGTGTTCCTTTTCTGTTTCAGCAGTTCAAGGTGTCGATAAGATCCTGAGACCAAAAAGGACATTCTGTGTCACCAAGCTTGGTCCCTGGCCAAAAACGGGTAAACCCAAATAATGATCTCATTCATCAAGTTCAAGCCCTGTAGCCCAGTAAATACTGCATTGCCACTGCCAGAAATAGCCCCAAGCTTTGTGCTGAGCCTGCACAGCCTTGGGATCAGGCTTGTCTACACTTGCGCAGCCCAGCCTGGAGCTTTGCTTTAGCTGTAGCAGCAATTTTCCTAATGACCAGGTGGCTGGTGCCTAATTTATTTTACTTTTGCTTATCTTCACATAATCATGTGGTTTCAGTGCAATTTTGATACAGACAGTAGTAACAAGTAGTTAGCCTGTGTAGGATGAAATATTTACCAAGCCATATAACCACGCAGCACAGAGGAGCACAGATACAGTATAGCTGCCTCAGAAAGGTAACATGCAATGCAGCTGAGGCATGGGATGGGATCAGATGGAGTACAGAGCAACGGCGATAAAAATTCACCCCCAGACAGCTGAACAAGCCCGTGGTTTTAGGGATAAGAAAGAGAAAGTGTGTAAGGCATTGCATCCACACTGTATTCAGGATTAAGGCAGTGTTACAATCCAACAAAGAAAACAAGCTGTAAAAGCATGTTAGGAAAAAAAACAACAACAGCAGAGCCCAGACTGAGGAAGAAGAAAGCATCAGCATCAGTATCATGCTCGTTATGGCACAGAGAAAGAAGTCCTGACATCAACATGCCATTCCCAGTGTGGGCCTCGGTGCCTGAGACCTTGCTGTAACAGCTCCTGAGCTCCAAAATTAAAGCTACTGCCCATGGAGTGCATGTGAGCAAAACATGACAAAAAGAAGTGGAAACTCAGACGTGTATAAAATGTTTTTAAACCTGTTATTATTACTACACCTGTAAAAGTATTCTTTCTCTTATTTTCAGAAGTAAATCTGGACCGGTAATAATTTTTTTATTAAAATGTAAATATTTTAATTACATTAACAATAGGTTTTTGCTTTTAGACAGATAGCCTATTTATCTGGCCTCTAAGAAGACCGTGAGTGTACCAAAGCTCAACATTAAAGCTAGCTACACCTCTTGCTTTCACTCCTCACACAAGACAACCATTCCAAAAACTGACCTCCTTCAGAAAGATATATTGATTTTCAGCATAAATATCATAGCATTTGATATCCATCACTGCTTTGTGTTCCTCTGTACACCTTCCTATGTCCCTGAACAGGGCTCACACTCCTACTGGGCATGGTGGGGCCCAATCAAGACAAAATCTTTTTAGCCTCATCATGTGGGATAGACACTGCCCCGCTCACCTCTTCTCACTGTAGAAACTCTAGCACAGAAATACAAATTATTCAATAAGTTTACAATTACCTTTTCCCTCAGTTAAGATGAGAAGTGCAGATATGACAATTTTATGCTAATTGCAAGCATTTGGGTTTGCTAGAGTAGTTTTTGAGTAGTAACAAAGCGAGATGTAATAATATAACAATTATGATAATATGTTAATAGTTTTAATTGAAGTAATTTCTGTAGACAATAAGAATTATACCCTAATGTGTTAATTAATCTGATTAGGAAATGTTGTGAAAATGAGTATGTAAAATGATATCAGAGGATAGCAGGAAAGGCATGTTTTACAGGGAGAGTGTTCCTTGGGGTAAGATTTATAGATGTTAGCTCACAAGACTTCGGCAAGGTAAACAGCTGTTTTGGTTTTAGTTATAATGAACATTAACTCTACTTCCCCATTTCTGCTTAATTAAACCGCTGACTCTGCAGCCAATCAAGAGAAAACAGAAAATGGGCACTAATTGGGTCCTGTGCACTTTCAGTCTAATCTTACATCAAGTGGTCTGGCTACACCACCAAAACTGCCTCAAAAACATGAGTTTCCCTCCCACTTTCCTCTGCCAGCTTACCCAATGGGTAAGCCAAAGCCAAACTACATATATTCAGCACAAAAAGACTGGGCCAAGCAGAAGTCCTGCAGGATGTACAAAGTGAAAATTTAAATTAAACCGATTTTTACTCTCGTTCAGGTAACCACTTCCTTATTTTTTGTTAACAGTTCAAAGCAAATAACACTGAAAACAAAGAAATAAACTCACAAAAGATTCTCACCGACACTCCTGAAGGAGGAACCAACAGCAAGTTCCTCTGCTTTTTGATTAGTTTTACCTTTTGCAAAACAGGATCAGAATGGCACTGGCACAAAGCTACAAACCAAATGAAAGCACGCTGACGAGAAGGAAAGAAAATGGCACGCAATGTGCACAGCGGTAAGAAAACCACTGGAGATAATGGAGAAAACCTTAAATCTATGCTTGCAGAGCTCTGTAAGAGCAAGCTGTCTCCTGCACAAAATGTCCCCTCTTCCTCCTTGTGACATGCGCCATCAGCTCCGGAGTGCCTTCATCTGAGAGGAACTGGGGACTGGTGTGACAGAGCGCAGGCTTCTCCTAGCATACTTACAGGGCAAAAAATAAAAAAAAAAAGAGAGGAACTTATGCCCTAGAGGACAAAAGACAATTTTGCATAATTCTGTAAATAAATCTTTAAGACAATACGATGAATAGGATAAAAAAAAGGCTTGAAATACCTCACAGTCCCTTGGTCTGGAAGAGACAGCCGTGTTCTCTCTTGAACCGTCTTACTTTGCGAGCATGCGCAGGAAGGTTTCTGTCAGACCTACAACCTTTATCTGAGCTTCCTTTGTGGTTATTAGCAATACCAAGAGCATCGCTTCACATTACACTTCAACCATTTCCTTCTGGTGAACTTACTTCCGCAGTGAGCTCTCCCTTTTGTAAATCTAATAGGCAAAAACTGGGTAAAACGCCCTGTAGATTTCACTACAGACAATCAATAACCTTTAGTATAAATATGCATAGTAACTTGTGCTGTGGCAGCAGCCAATTGGGATACACACACAAGGAGGTTCAACTACCAAAAGCACCATTTTGTGGCTCTCCAAAGGAAGTGGTGAAGACTGGTAAATGCTCGATCTCTCCTCTTCATGGGAGGCTGCCTACCTAAGCCCTGAACCGAGAGCAGACCTTAAGTATAAATCACTTAATTGCTCATTTTATTTGATGCCCAAGTACTTCATGCTAATGAAGTTAAGCATTAAAAGATTACAATGTGACAAATTATACGCCCATCTCATAAAAGAAATATTACCGAAACAGAGTCAGATCTGAAAGGCTCTCGATAACATAAAGTGTAAGTCTAATTTTAGATGATTCCTCAATCACTGGAGAGCTTGCAGTATACACAGCCAGCCCAGCTCAATCAACTGACTTTTATCTCTATGACTGCAGGTCACATTATCTCATGAATGAACTGTTATGTAGGTCAGTCAAGAGTCATCTTCTAACTGAATGCACGTTTCAGCCTTGGCGTTTATGCTCCAGATATCAAGACTGTGGACAATCAGTGAAGGCAGAAGAAAACGTTGAAGAAGGATCTGTGATAATTAGCTTTTGTATCAGACAACAAGCATGCAAACAGATGTTAGCTGAACCTTGGAGACAGTTGTTTGCATTTTAACTGGATTTAACATAGGTGGAAAGTGTGGGAGCAACAACTTGCTGAGGAGAGATATTTTGGGTTGCAGATCAGATTTTAGCCACAAATCAAGCCCCGTCTTTCTAACGAAACTCAGCACAGCCAAGAGGTATATTGGGCCGTGCTGAGATGTGCCAAATATATGCCTGCTTACTTGCAGTAACTGATACACCAGCTCCTCTCACTCCTTCCCACTGAGCAGCCATCAGCAAGGGTGAGCTGTGGTTGCTCCCAAAAGAAGGCGGATTTGAGACAATGGAAGAGAAAGTTTCCACTCTAGCTCCAGACTCCTGTGTAATACTTGTACGTGCATGCTTTAAAGAGAGAGGGCTTTGGGGAGACATGCTTATATGGTTTGTGGACTGTTTATTTAACTTCACAATCAGGGGACTGACGTAAAATACATTTGAGTTACAGCCCCTGTAACATCTGGGTAAAATGAGGAGTGTCAGACTGGAGATGCTCCATGAAACTAAAGCATGAAATTTACTGCTTTACAGAAACACTTCTGAGCAGACATTTCATTTCCTGTTCAATCCAAGTTATTCTAATTTAGATGTAAAGGCAAAATTGCAACTGATTAAAATTGGGTCGGCAGCAGTTCCCATCTGAGGAAGCTCACAATCAGATAACAGCCAAGCTGCCAAAATGCAGAGCTGCTCATACTTCATAACTGTGACCCATACAGCTATTACCAGTTGCTTTATCTATTTCCAGACATAGTCTCTGACTTTGTGCTCCCCCAACTTTAAAAATCATTTGCAGCACACAAAGGGTTACCAGTAGCGAAGTGAAAGCAAAACGCCCAAGGCCAAGCTTTCCTGTAGCCTGCATACGTGGTTGCATTTTCAGCTCCTGTGTCCTGACAGCTGCTGTCTTCAAGTATGCTGCGACATGCCTACTGCTGTACCAGCAGTCCTTTTGTTCAACTCTGAGCTTGCTTTTTAAGGCTTCAAAGCCTTGGTGCATGGAAGGCGGAGAAAGGAAGACGTGAAGTAACAGCTATTATATGGAAGATAGTTTTGGTTGGTCTTCTTTGCCATCTTATGCCCCACCCACTTCAAAACAAGTAGTTATAAAGAAGTACAGAAGTAGCTAACAAAAACAAAACAAAAACAAAAAACCACAAAAAAAAGCATCAGAAAACTCTCCCCACCTCCAGCAAAGCCTTCCCCTGTTGTTCTTATGTCCCAGCAACAACTGCTTTGCACTCACGTAGTGTGATTCTTAGGAGGATGTGAAAGCAGTTACAAACATCTGTTAATTAAGGCTCAATTTGCACGTGAGATGGGTAATATACTAATTTTACAAATGGGGATGTTGAACCACACAACACTGGAGGAAAGCTGGCCAACAAAAGCACTTGAATTTGCACTAGAACGAGGGAGACTCCTTTTCCTTATTCCAGCTCCTGCTCTTCTAAAAAAAAATAAAGGCCATGTAAGTGTGCCTGATATGCTGATGGCTTTTATTTTGCAAAAGACAAAGTCAGAATAATTTTCCAGAAAATAAACAGATATTCATAAATAAAACAACAACAAAAAACCCACGAAACGGTTACTGATGAATAAATTGCATTAGGTCCAACTTGCAAGAAAGCATATTAATGTATTTTTAATGGCTGAACCAAGGGAAGGTCATTATACAATGTTTTAATTCTAATACATTAGTGTTGCATTTATACATCAGCAGTTAATGTGATAATGTCAAACTCACCACTAGTGTGGCATCATAAAAACAAAGACTGTTTTAGTATTCTTTTGGAAAAAAAAAAAAAGAAAAAAAATAATCAGAAATGTTACCATCTCCTATTCCAGATCAGGAGAATGTCTTCTGTACCAATTCAGCATGCAAGATCAAGTCAGCAAGATGTGAAAAACATAAACCTTTGGTAAACTGCACAATCAACAAAGGCAGAGAGGTGCTTGCTGTTGTTGTTTGTGGTGTGTGTTTGTTTTGCTTTGCTCTCCAAATGAAACCTTTTTAATGCTCTCTGACCTGTAAACACCACTTTTAACAGAATGCAGGAAATAAATTAATAGTAGAAGTAAAAAAATAAATCTGAAAGTAAACTTGAGGAAACAGCCTCTTCAGCAGAGATGTTATTTTTTGATTCTTCAAAAGACACAGGCAATAATCTGGCAAGCAGCACCGTTACAGTAAGCCAATGCTCTTCAAAGCTAATTTTGGGTAGTGCAGTGTGTCAGGTCTCTTATTTGGACATTGTGTATATCCTCCAAAGGGAAAGTATCCTCCTAGGATTAACACTTACACAAATGAAATATTTCCCTGAAGATCACACTTAAAGCTTCCTTTATAAGGCTTCTAAATAGAAATGGTTGTTTATCATGTTATTTTCCCCCCCTTTTCTTCCTCCCTCTCTCTCTCTCTCTCTGGATTAACATTTAGCAAAATGAAAACTTCCTGAAGGTAATTACCTGGCTGCAATTCAAGGCATTCAAAAACCTCACAGCTCTCTTTGGTGGGGGAAGGAGCCACCAGCCCAGGACAGCAGCTTCAAGATGCCCAACACCCCAAGGACACAGCCCTGGTGGGCTCCACTACACCCCACCCTCAGGCTTCCACTCGCTCCCCGTTCAGTGCTTGCCTCTTGTTTTGTATGAATTTGCATTTGACCCATTTTGTTTGCCCTCCTGGGGCCACAGGAGTCTGGCGTAGGCCCTGTGTTTCACAGTAGTTACACGCTGCTTCTTGGATTGATTCTTTTTTCCCCCCCAGAGCTACTGCATATCATCTTCTGTGTAGATGATAACATGCTTGGTGCAGCTTGGCTGTTTGCAAGTGCTGCAGCATGCAGAGGCTCATCACCTCTGCAGACATATGATGGCAAAGGTTGAGCAATTTTGCTGAACCCCATCCTAGTGAAGAGGGGTAGCAGAGCCTCCAGCTTGGTTTCCATTAGGAAGCAACCAAGTTTTTTTTGTTCCACCTCCAAAATTTTGTCTTCTCTGCAACTCTTTCATCTCTTTTCAGGAATGGATGTGAATAACTGCTGCACCCATTAGGCTGAGCTTTACTGTTGTTAAACTAAGCCACTTAGAGCACTCTAAACACTGTGCTCAGGGCAATGTGGAGCTGATTTGAGCCGAGTCTCAAACATTCCTATTGTACCCATATTAGTAAAAAGGTCTCACTGAAAATTGGGAAATAGTGGATCACACCTTATTATCTTCATCTGAAACTGCAACTTTGGATTTACCTACCACTAATTTTTGCTTTCTTGTAAGGCTTGAAGCTGTTCAAGAAAAACACAAGAAGTTTTTATTTAAATTTACATTAGCTTCTGTTTGATTTTCTCGCTCAATTTCCTTTCTCCATGCCATTATGAAATTGCCTTATGTTCAGTAAGGTAACTACCTATCTAACATACTAACTCTAACTGCTTAGAGCTGTTTCACATTTTCAAATACCTCCAAAATCTCTTCTAAAACTTGTAAACTTTCTCCTTCCTTTTGCCTCTGTTTTGGTGGCAGGTGTTCATAGACTGACAGATGATAATATAAAATGGCACCTGTGTTTGGAGGACTGTTTATGGCCAATATACGTGCATAGGTGGATGGAGTATTTCTAGGATTTCTTCTTTTTCAAAAGATAAATAATGTTGGTATCCTTTCTTCAGGCATAAAGCCCATGTTCCTTATTACGCAGAAAAGATTACACTTACTCTCTCGTCTAGAAAAAAAACAAAACAGCTGCCATCTTCACAGTGCCCAGTAAACTATTAACTAAGCGTGTAAATGGACAGTGTGTGATAGGAGACCTTCTTTTGGGATAATGTATGCAATTATGAATATGTAAGTCAAGTTCTCATGTTCTGTTCTGACCTCTACTTACTGAAATGCTGACAAGGACTCTTGCCTTCTGACTGCAAGTCATGCTTTTGATGCATCCAAAACATTAACTACAAATCTAAATCAAAACTGAAAGAACATAAAACAGTTTGAGGACGAGGAATCCTCACCTTCTACTTAAAGAGAAAAACAGAAAATTGTCAAGCTTTCAGAGTTAAAATTTTAAAACATGAAACAAGTATGCTAATGGTTTGCAGATCTTGAGATAAACAAATATGCATCTTTTTAGGTTTCTATGTATTTCACAGAAAACTTAGGTTTTCCCAATCAACTTAAAGACTTTTACAGGTACAAAATTATTTTTAATGACCTGAACATAGTAGTACAATGGTGCACCTTACTGTACTCTATAAGGCCTATGAATATTTTTCTTTGCTTAACTCACTGTAAGGTTGATAAAACACAAAGATTAATGACAAGACCTGTTCTATGCCAGAGTTCATGAAGAGGAAAGTGGGATTTACAATGGAAAAAACATGCATGTCTTTCCTAGCTTTTAAATAATTAGCTTCAAGGAAATTCAGAACTTTCCCCTGTGATTTCCCCAAAAGAAAGCCTGAGATGCTGCAGGCAGTGTCCCAGAGCATCCACGTGCCAATGAAGAAATATGCAGACAACAGGATAGGCTCATACAAGCCTGGCTTCCTCCAGTATTCAGATAACCAAGATAGCTAACATTACGTAAAGGCAAACAGAAAACAAGAGTCTGAAGAGCAGGAGGACAAAAAAAATCCACTTTTGTCCCACCCAAATCCAGACTGCCCACACTGAGTGCTGGCTCCACTTTGCAAGCTTTGCATCTGAGTTATTTCTTGAACTGGCAGCTAGAAAAGGTCTTACGACAGCCTGGTTTGTCTTCGTATGACGATCACGTTACACTGGATAAATTGAGTGTAATGGTATGCCATAGGGGCAGGTAAAGGTGGGAGCAGTGTGGAGTTTGGGTTTTAATGCTCTCCTTCGCATGCTGGCAGCAGGGTTTCATTATCAGCCTCCATTTGCTGACAATCAGAAATCTAAGCCAAACAACAAAAATTTCCATCAAAGAATATTTATAGGGCAAAAGGTTAACTAATTTGGAAAGGTGGTACTGAACTCACTGCAGAACATGACTGGGAAAGGAAATCTGGAAAAGCTGAGAAGGCTGAATTTTGATGCAGACCAAATTCTGGAAGCAAGCAAAAAAAAAACAAAAAACCTCTCAGACTTTTATTATTTTTTGTCTTTAAATAAAGGCTTATAATCTTACAGTGAAATGAATATGTGAAAACACATTTTCACACTGATAAAAGTTTTAAATGATGAGCCCTAGACAGAAATATTTACATTCATACTGTGCTTTGAATCTAACAGCTCAAAATCACAGAAGCAACTGAAAATTCAAGTTGATTGTATTCTTAATACCACGTTGCTAAGCCTGATGGCTTGTCATTGCCTTGCAATTCCTGGTGTGCAATGACTGGTACTCCATGTTTCCTGAATACTGAGAGAAGAATACAAGTTTCAATGCTAATTTTAAACTTTCTGGATTTTCAAGTACTTGGTCATAGTGCCTAAAAGCTATTATATTGTTATTCCATACATTAAAACAAGATTTAGGTTCGTACGGAAATGAAAGTGATAGACTTGTAAATGAGGATAACTGTATTAATAGGAAAAAGTTGTGTTTCTAACAAAAGCAAAGGATTTCTAGGAAGGATGAGAGAAGACAAGTTTTCAGGTTCCCAAGATTTTGATGCAAAATTTTGCAGAGGTTCTGCAAGAAGACCTCCTCCCAGCACCAACTGAAGCTGCTCTTTTGTCATTTTTGCCAAGCTATGCATACCTTACAGCTTAAAACTGGAATAGATATACAGCTACAAACACCCACACCATGGTGTGTGCTCGATCTCCATGCTGTAATGGAGTTTCCCATGCAAAGGTCATGGCCTGCAGCAGCATGAGAATCGCATGACTCACCACTGCAAAAGCACTCTCCTTTTTCCTCATCAAGTCTTATGTTTGTGGGCAAGAGCAGCGCCCAATGTACAGTACCTAACAGACCTTCTCTGTAAGCTTGTAAGACATGCTTTGTACAAGGTTTTCACCAGGAAAATACTAATGGATTGAAATCTAAAATTTTCTGGAGACATGCATCAGGTCTTTCCTTCATCTGACAGCAAGCTGGGAAGGTCTTTGTAAGGGCATGGTGCAAGTGTTTTCTAGTTCTGGCTATTTTCCTATTCTTCCATTGGGATTTTGAAAGTATGTGCCTTTGACTAGTTGCAAGAGCAAGCTTGCAACTCTGGCTTGCTTTATAGGGAAAAGGAGGCTTGCCACTCACTGAGGTCAAGGTGGATCGTTGTATTAGATGATCTTAATGGTCTTTTCCAGCCTCGATGATCCTACGATTCTAAGGTGTGAGCAGGGCTGTCTCTCTCTGTACCTTCCTACCATACACGTGGTAGTGTAGTGAACCATCTCCTAGAAGGAAAATGCTGAAAAGGTCTGATGAACAGAGAGCCATCATTGCATCGCCTGGCATCACCACCTTTGAAAGAGACTCAAAAGATATGAAGAGAACCAAAGCCCAGAAGACAGAAAGAATCATGAACGTACTGTAACCAGCTTGTGTCTTCTCTAGGTAATGAAGAGTCAGGCAAGTTGGACAGCCTACAGAGAGGCCTGTCATCCCCCAGCCTGTCCCTCACCTCCAGGGCCAGCGACAGCACAGAGGCCAGTCCCAGGACTGGCCCTGTTGCCTCTTCACAATCACTTCACTGAGGCCTGGGTCCTAATCACGAAGCAAGGAGAAACAGTGATGGGGAAGGAAAGCCATGGGGTTTTGCAAAGAAGGAGGCAGTGGGACTGGTACATCAAACCTTCTGGAAGGGAAAAACATCCATGGTAAAACCTAAACAGCAGGCCTGGGAAGTTTAACACTTGAAGTTTAACTTCAACCCGTCCTGTCCCACTACATGCTGTCTTCTGGGACTGCCCTTCACTCATGCATTAGCCATGAATTGTAAAATCCTCTGACTAGGAAGCCTAGCTCACATTAGCAGTCAGTTTTTCCTCATCTTAACAAAAACACCTAAAACATATAGATATGAATGTTTTTTACATGCATACCTTTCACAAACACTAATCTCATACCTAGTACAACTCCAACAGACCTGTTCTGAGCAGGGAGCTTTGTGCAAGCACAGCCTAATGCACTGTGTGGCAACACATTTACAACAGGAGCAAAGCTTATCTCCAGATCTGATCCTTTCAAGAGTCTTTCCTCCCAAAACTAAACCAAGATGCACACCCTCCAATGGTTACAATCTGCTGACAGAATGTGAATGCTACTGCATTAAGTTCCTTCACACGGCACCTAACACACTCAGAGTGGTCAATAAACAACAATGTGCTGCATGTGATCCAACAGCACGGCCAGAATGGCAGGAGACACAGATGTAGCATGAAAAGCAAAAAAATTTATATCAAGAACAGCATTTAGAATGCCTGTTCTAGTGAAATTGCATTCTTTGGTGATGTAACAAAGCACATAAAGCAAAACCACCACCCCAAAGTGACTCACCAAGTGCTTTTTTCACCAGCCTGGGACAACAGCACCTGAGCCTGCCAGCAGCCCCAGGCCAGCCCGCTCACCCCGTCCCTACCTGCAGGCAGCAGAGCAGGCACACGGCAACCAGCTGCTCAGTTGTACTCCATATCACTTGGTTTCAGCCTTCCTGAACTTCCCACTTTACATAGGAAAGCAGAAGTATGACACTCACTCCCTGTATTCTTTTTCCCCCCACTTAGCAAAGTTTGGTACTTCTGAGAAGTAGCCAGAGTAACGCTGTTTCAGAAAGTGCAAGTGATCTGTGGTATCTTCCAGTCAGCCTGGTAATATGTTACACCCAGAATCCTATTTAGCAGTTTACATAATTCACAGTTTCTCTGGTTACATACTTTGTAAAATATGACATCCAGCTGGGAAAGCTGGTCTACTTTATTGTCGTACGCTTGCTTTATATCATCCAAATATCAATTAAAGCAACAACAACAACAACAAAAAAACAACTATAAGGCAGATATCTTCACATTTTCACTTGTATATATACACACAAAATGCTTGCTGTCATTCAAAGGGGAAAAATATCCTTGTCTGAAGTGTAAACTGACTGTGCAGTGCTAGGAATCAAGTATAATTTAAACCAAACAACAACAACAAAACTACAAACAAACTTGAAGAGTGAACAGACATACTTAAATTCTACATCAGCTGTTTTAATGGCGCAGTTCTTCTGAGAAGTGAAATGTAATCAGAACATGTTGTCAAATAACAGAGCTATATCCCACAAAGTCAACACGATGGCATTTTAAAAATACAGCAGATATAGAGCCTTTACTGGCATATATGCACTTAGCAAATATTAGAAAAATCAATCAGAAACAAAATGCAAACTTTGAAATGAGTGCATGCCTTGTGTTATTCATTTCCAATCCTAATTGTTTGATTTCATTCATCGGGATTTATATATGCACCAGTACACTACTGAAGCAGCTAAAATTAAATACATCCCATTTTTTTTTCCCAGAAAAGTAATGGACTTTAACAGTCATTTTACTGCAATGAGAGATATTAACAAACAATTCTGCTCCTAACTCCAGGTTATAATGTAAGTGGATCAATTGATCACTTGCAAAAGGCAAAGTTTTGCTTGATGGTGAGGGCAAACCACATCAATAAAGTTCTGACCAGGCCGTTCATTATTTTCAGTAGAAATCCAGTCACAGTCTAAATACCACCTAAAGTATTTGCTCTGATTTGTGATCCATGAAAAAGGAAAAAAATAAATACAAGTAACATTTTACCATATAGTAGGAAAGGCCATGGAATGAACCTACTCCTGTGCTGCACCTAAACCATGCTGATCTATACAAACATACCAAACCTGCTATGGAAGATTTTACCACTCACAAAATAAGACACAGACAGAGAATGAAAACAGAGGAAAATGCATGTGCCACAAGAGTTACCTGCTTGGTATATGCTATTTTTCATGCCTAGCTCTCACAGCTCTCACGACAGGTTACAAAAGTAAGCAAAGTGATCTGTAACTA